TTCCCAGGCTGGGGGTTGAGTGGTGGGGGTGTGAAGGCTTCTGAGAGACCGACCTCTCAGCCAGGCAGAAGCGTGAGTGGCAGGCAGGGGCTCTGCTGGCTCCAGCAGCAAGCAAAGAACCTATGGCCTACGGGGCTCCAGGGCGCAACAGTCTGCAGGGCATAGACAAGGCCATACACAGAGGTCATAAAACAAAATTTATCTTTAATTTGTAAGTGTCAACAGCAGTACAAAAGATGGAGTGATGACGACTAGATTAAGGGTAGAGAGGACAGTCTTGAGGTAAATGAGCATAAATAGGCAGTTCGTATAGACACTCCCCTGAGGGGCCTGGGCCCCATCATGGCATGTACATTATCACCCAAAGATGGCATGGTTAACATATCAGGAAAGCACCTTGTGCAAAAAGGGGGAAAAAAAAGTAGCTAAGGTGCCAACATACACCAGGATAGAGAAAGACAGCGTGTCTTTCCATTTTGTCTTTTCCCTTAATTATGAGGCAGGGGGTGGGGGGAGAGACTTCGAAAAGTACCACTGAAAGATTATTCAATGTTGAGTTTTGTCTCACATCAATACTGCACAGCAAAATCCAAGAAGTCTGTGTATGCAACAAAGCTAAGAACAATGATTCATTCCTTTAAATTTGAAGAGATTCTATTTTTCCCCCCATTTCTTTAATCCTTAGCAAACTTTTTTTCCCATTATCAAGAGGAGAGTGTGAGAAAGATGTGATGGCAACCCTTAAGGTCATTTAAAAACTTTACACTGGACTGTACAAGATTTTTTTTTGATAAACTATTTACATTTTCAGACTTTCAAACATATTCAAAGCAGCAATAGACACTAGTTTTTATGGTTTTTGTTTTTTCTAATTGCCCAAATAGTTACCAGCCATGGGCCAAGTAGGTACCTGCGTTATACATAGAATTTCTACAAAGAAAATCTGCAGTTAAGATTTGCTCAAGGGTGTGTTATGTGCCGTTGGCGTTTCCAGGGCCACACCCGCAGTGTTGCTACAGGAACCAAAGCACAGTACCTTGACAACAGAGTTACAGTTGTCCCAACAGCCCTACACACACTTTACACTTCGAAACAGCAGCCAGCATGTCAGTCCAGCATGTCAGTGAATTGTGCTGATTAAATTAACATAAAATACAATCTCACAATATACATCACAAACAAATTACAATGTCGGGAAATAAAAGAGTTACAGTCAGATAAGTTATGTAGTAACAGCTTATAAGCTTGTCTATGGTAATAAAAATTTTACATGGCAAATACAATAATGCATAAACATAAATGCTAAGCATTCTAATTTGCTACACGCTGGAGAAGGTTACAATAAAGACTGCACTTTCCAAAAAGCAAAAAACACATATGACAAAGGAAGACGAACGGAGAATGCACACAAGCAGACCTGCAATGTGCAGCATACACAACAGTTAAATATTTGCACATTCCCCATACTCCAAGAGCACCAGCGTTGAGGCCTCACTTTATGCTTGTGGTTCTTCAGGAATAAGAAACTACTGAGCAAGATATGTCACTGAGTTGCCGTCAAGCTTTCATATTGCCACGGACACCAATGAGAAGAGGACCTGCACTGTTACCCGTCTGCCCCCCGCCCCCGCCCTCCCCACCTCTAGCCCCACCCCGAAGGTACCAGCACTTCTAATACTTGTTCATGAGCTTTGGGAAAGCAATCTGTCCCCAAAGGAAAAGAGGGGATAGGGATGAAAAGGAAATGTGTTTGCATATCAATATTTTCAATGATATCAGCAGAGGGTTATGCTCGGTCATAGTAGAGGGCATCGGAAACAGAACATAATCGGCATGAATAACAGATAGAAGTTGTTTATTAAGGAAGAAAACACGTCAGTGGGGGAGGGGCCAGATGACTGAAGGAAACGATGCAAGTGCTTTTGTAAAAGGACAAATGAGGTCACACAATATTATACTTTGAGAAGTGAGCTTAAGTGCCATCTCAGTCCTTAGACAAACGTGTACAGAATCAGGCAAAGCTACAGCAACCACTCTGCTATTTTCTCATCAGAAAGGAGGACCCAGAAATCATTCCAATACATTCATCTAGCTGCACTGTTTGCAGTGGTTGGCACTTGGTACAGGGCTTCTTGTATGATTTAAAACTACTGATTCTTTTTCCCTTTCCCTAATGAGTCAGTAGAGGTCACCTCTTTGCAACATCCGTAAATTGAGATAAGCAGCCTGGGCTGTGGTGTTCAAGTGACCAGGTTCCCTTCCTACCAGGGGCAGATGGACTTCCTGGAAACAGTCCCTGCTTTCAGCTAGTGCCTGTGCTCCTGGCTCTGCAGGGTGTGCCCCGAAGAAGAAGCGGCAGGGCTTCATGAGGAAAAGAAAGAAGCCTTTAATTTCAGCCCTGGGGTGATCACACCCTTTTCAAACACCCAGGCTCCAGTGGGGCCAATGTTCAGGGGAGGCCAGGCTTTGACAAGCTCAATAGCACTGAGCCCACACCTGAATTTAGAACTTGGCCTTTGAGTCGGTGTCAGGACCCTGGCAAACAGAATCAGGCCTGAGGACAAGGCTGGGGAGTATCAAATACCAAATGAAGCAAACTGATGCGCTCCTAAAAGGTTGAGCTGGGTACATGTGAAAACAACAAAGCTCTCATACCTTCTGGAAAAGATACTGCACCACATCTGCCAGTGAAACAGCGAAACTGCCTGCCTGCTGCTCCTGTCCACAGATTAGCTTGTTTTCTTTCTTCTTTCTTCCTTTCTTTCTTTCTTTCTTTCTTTCTTTCTTTCTTTCTTTCTTTCTTTCTTTCTTTCTTTCTTTCTTTCTTTTCTTTCCTTCTTCTTTTTTTCTCTTTCCTTCCTTACTATTTTTTATGGTCCAATTTTAGGCTAGGATTGTCTGCCAGTGTCCCTATTCTGAGTGACATGGAAAATCCTAATCCTGTAAATTCTTTACCAAAATGGAGATAATTTTTATCTCTGATTTGAATACACTATGAAATAAAAAGCACTGAAGAGAGTTTATTAATAATATTTCCTTTAATTGGCATGGTGGGACTTTAGTTCATGACCAATCTCAGGGGCAGATTTTTGCTTTTATAACATCATTCACGCTTCTTGCTATAAATGGTCACAGAGTTACCTTACTCAATTGATGTGGATTCACAAAGCAAACGGACTCTCCCCCAGCTGCCCTGGACATGTGGTACGCTCCATTCATCGACTTTCTATGAGAAAAAAAGCCAAAGTCTGAGTCTGCGGACAGTGGGTTCTAACTGCATGAGGCCCAAGTGAGGGGCTGTCTTGCCCCAGCGCAGTGGGACGCTGCACTCTCACGGTGGCTGGTAACCCACTACCCCCACACGGTGCAGTGACTCCTCAACTTCTAGTCTGGACCAACACACATGGATAGAGAACAAAAAGGAAATACATAACTTATATCTCACTAAGTATTCATGAACCAAAAATAAATTCTATTTCTATGTTATATTTACACAATTAGAAAAAAAATCTAAAATGAGATGGTAAAGTCATAAAAAACTTTGTTTAAGCCCCACTGCAAAGAAAATGAAGTGATCCCTATGATTGTCATTCTTAATTTCTCAGGATTTTTAGAGCCAGACTTGGCTAATAAATAGAATAAACTGCTTATGCGCAGAATTTAGATTCAAATACAGCATCACTGTTTGACCCAATGCAAGGGCGTTTACAATCAGATCATTCCTGAATAGCCTTTCATTTTCGATAGCACGACTAGAAGTAACTGAACCCCAGTGCTGGGGCAGAGCTGGAGCTAAAACAAAGTGTTCATACACACATGTATTTTGCATAAATAAATGAAATAACAAGACATAAAAATGACTCAAATCCGGCAACTGTGAGGCAAGCCCACACGAGTCGAAACAGATGACTTTTGTTCATGTAGTTTTCGTACAACAGTTTCACATTAGTCAGAAGTGATAAAAAATACCATTTATATCCAGTGCTTATAACACTTACGAAACAACATCTGTGAGTGTGTTTCTTTTTTTGTTGTTTTGTTTTGTTTTGTTTTGTTTTACTACAAGCGAAATCAAGTTTCAGTCCTAAAGAACAGTCCTTTGTTCTCCACCAGCCCAGAATATTATTTTGGCATGGTCATAAAACAAACAAAATGAACCTACTATTCTAAATGTTTGCCTCTGTGCAAAATTAATTACATACATTACAATGCTAGCCATATAGCACTCTACCTATGCAACAAAATAAAAAAGGAGTGGAGAGGGCAAAGCAAAGTCAAGGAGGATGAGAAAAAAAACATGAGGATGAACGAGGAGGAGAGGTATACGTTCAAAAGAAATCAGTAAGACAATAATAAATACTCATTTTTTAAAGAAAAATGACCTCCTCCTCATTTGAAATAAATGTACAAAAACAAAGTTCCAATCCCCAACCAATATTAAGAACAAAACATTCCTATCAGTACCTTAATCAGCTTATGGAGAGCACTCCCAGCTATGGATGTAGCCAGTACATTGTGGCTAGAGCTAGTTATTGCTATTAGGTATGGACTTGAGCACTCTTTAAATAAATATGAAGGTACACTATTTTCTTCCAAGTGACAAAAATGGCTCAAGAAATCTGATGGGGCTGTTCCTATGTTCTGGTGATCAGATTCTGGATTGTCCTGTGAGGTGAACTGTCCCATCTGCAGACATTCTCCAACTGAACCACTCTAGTGATGGCTCCCCTTCCCCATAGGCAATCAGGCCAAGATCCCTGTGAGGAGGAGATGGGGACTCCAACCTCACTGCCTCCCAGCCCATCAGCACATCTCCAAAAAAGTCCTTGTGTGACAAGTGTAGTTAATCTCATTCACACAGAGGCCACAGACAGAGGACATGAGCCCGAGGAACTCTGCTGCCCCAGGAGTGATCTCTTCCCAGAGTTAACAGTGGGAACATCCCCTGTAGAGAATGTATTTCCCCTCCTTCTCCTTCCTTAAGGTTTTCTTTCACCCTCTGTCTGTCTTTTTGTAGAGGCTGTCTTGTGGCTTCTTGCATCCTGGGGATTTTGCAAAGAACTCCCTAAATGGGCCAGATGGGACAAGGCAACTCAGTGTGAAGATGCCAGCCCGTGACAGCATCACTGTGGCCTCCTCCATGGCCCCCAGCCTTGGGCTGTAGGTTTGGCTGCGGGACTTCTCTGCTGAGAGTCACCACCGTTGACCCTTGCTGCTGACCCTTGCTGCTGAGTGACATTCAGGGCAAATGCCGTGAAGGCAGATCCTACCACTTGCTGCTGAACTGACTTAGGGGGAAATTCTGGCAAGAGACTCAGGGTCACAGCGAACCTCAGGGGCCTAGCTGTTGAAGTGTAAGACTCTGCACCTATATCCAAATACACAGCCCTGCAGCGCGATACACACTCATGTTTAAAAACAACACGAAGGTATTTCATAGTACCTTGTTTCAGAAATGCTTCCAGATGCTCTGGGGACAAAATCACTATGTACATCTTTTGTATCTAGCAGGAGAAGGAGGTGGAAGGGCTGAAAAGTTCTTTGGGGAAGGAAGGTGAAAAACAAGAATTATTAAATTAATGCCACCAACAATTTTTTTAAAAATAAATAGTAAGTGGACCCTTGACATTCTGGAATGAATAAATTATTTAAGAAAAAATGTGTTAAGACTGAATGTCAGGGTTAAAGGCAAAGGGATGATGGATGTAGTGAGAGGTGGTCTCGGGCAGAGGAGACCACCATGTCGGTATCTGGTGTGGTGATCGCTCTGGTGTGCACCCGTCATATACACGTCACACACTGATGGCACGTCAAGAGGCAAACACGATTGGGTACATGCACTGTGGCAACCTTGTTCATTCCTTTCAGTATCTTGTCTCCAGATTCCTGAGTACTTTACCATTTTTCTGGAAAAAAAAATGTCTGGTTTGCTATTTTATTTTAAGATGCCAAAGATTGTCTAAGACTTTGCAGTGTCTCCTTTAAGACTTTTCAAAATATTAAGATTCAAAAGTGATGAAAAAGTTTGGCACATTCAAAGTTTAACTCTACACATGGACACATGGAATTCTGAGGCCTTTTGAATATGCTCTACATGCAGCTGCACACGCCGTGGACTTGTTCTGTTTCACAAAATGAAATCCTCAGTTATTTTCTAAAGTAATTCAGAATAAAAACACATTCACAACCTGTAGGCCGGCACAGCATACCTGAGTGAGAATGTTTAACCCCATCTAAAACAGTAACTTAAACCTTTATCAACATCCAAAAGAAAAAAAAAAGTAAGACAAAAATATAAGACTTGTAAGACAGCTATGGGTTGAGATAAGTTTTCAAGTCCTGGTGTCTCATATTTAATATGTCTTCACCTAAATTTAAAAAACAACAACAACAATAACAATAACGACAAAAAACTCAAGTTCATGAAAAATCAGGGAAAACTTAATCTGTCTCACACTTTACAAAATAATTAAGACCATTCTGCTGATGTAATTGTGGAGCCACAAATGCATGCGGGCTCTTTAAGAACTTTTTGTTGGGGAAGGGGAGATGAAATGTCAGAGTATTTTAATTCAGCAAACAAATACTCCTCAGTTGGCACTGACAGCTTCTGGGGCTTCATTTTCGCTGCTATAGTCTGATTTGGGATCATCTTCATAGTCGTCATACATTTCCATTTCATCCTCTCCATTAATCATTTCATTTCCAGCTAGGCTTCCGCCATCTGTCTTCATGCCATAAGTGCTCTGGATGACCGGGAGGCTGGGCTCTGGGCTGGCAGAGGTGCTAGAGCAGTCAGATGTCATCTGAGGTGATGGTGTGGTCGTTGCCATAGTAATAGCACCAGGATACACAACACCTGTTCCTGTGGTGATTGGAATCTGAGGCTGTTGCCTGTATAGATTCAGAAAAGTAAAATAAAACAGGGGGAAATATTTTTATATATATGCTCTTCTGTGTGGCATTGAGAGTCATCCCCCATGTGTGCCAAAAGAGGGCCCTGTTTGACATTCTAAGCAAATGGCAAAATGTGACAAAGGTGTTCCCTGGAGAAGTCCTGTGAATCTCTCCGATGCAATGGTTGGGGGTTAAGCAATACAATGGAGCGATTTATTGATGTTTTTGCTACATAAAAGCAGGGTACTTATAACATCACAAATTTGGCAAAGCTTGGGTAACAGCTGGAACAATTCCATAAAGTTACATGTGAGGTTGTTTAAGATTCTCTCCGAACATTAAGAAAAGTAGACTGGTGACATGAGACATATTATAATGACACTGTTAAGTGGAGTTGAGAACTGTACAGAGGAAAGATCAAGATGAAAAAGGATCTGGTGAGTCCCAAAGAGTCAGATTTAACAAAGCATAGATTTAGTATCCATGCAGGGAAACTCTTTCAAGGAGCTTCTATTTTCCTAATTGAGGAAGGATCTTGGATGTCATTATTCCAGAGGCCCTGGGCTGGAGCTGGGGTTGGAGGTGAAGAGCAGCGAGAGTTCTGCCACTTAACAGAATGACACACGTTGACTGCCTCATCCTAGAACCCAGCAGGGGCCAAGGCCTGGTCACAACAGGTCATTCCATCACGATGTTCCTCTAGTTAAAATAAACAACCAGACCCTTTAGGAAGCTCAGTCTTCAGGAAGACATGGCTCTCTTTCTCAATTGTCCTTGAGTCACTATAAAAGGTCAAAAGGATTAACCTCGTTCAGAGGCTACGGCTGAAACATCATTCTCATGGATGCAACAGTCACCAAGTTTTCACAATCTTAATGTGCAGTGATTATAATTTAAATTTATTTCAAAACGTTACTGTAAATATCCTTGCTGAGCCTCAGTTTCCATATATTTATAAAAGCTGGGGTCAGGGGAGTCGTGGAAGGTCCTTTCACCTTCTATTACTCATGGGTTCAGGTCAGTCCATCATTTAAATGATTCTTATTGACCCTCCACATTATCATTGAAGCTTTCTGTCCACCTCAGTCTCAAAGGAAAGTACCCTGAATCAATAAATTAGCTTGGTTCCCAGCTATTCTTCAACATGTCCAGAGGAGCATAATTTTCTCAAAAAGGCCTGCGTACCTTCCATTCTAGCAGAGGAGAAATGAGGAAAATGGCCTAGAATCACTCTGTGAGATATCTGATGATGTTATCTTTAACAAACTCTTTCATTCCCTAGAAGGCATCATAATGATTCCCCCACCATTGACTAACATAATATATATAATATCTGTTCTCATCTATTGCCTCATTCAATTACCATGGCAGCCCCATGAGGTACTATTATGCTCACTTTTCAGATGGAGAAAACAAGGCCTACCAGCAGAGTCCTATGAACTGAGGTAGCCTGACTTAGATTCCATAACTCTTTCCTTTATAGATATACAAGGCACCATGCTTCTGTATCATAACAATTCCCAATTCCTATCGATCCTGTTGTTATCCCGCTGACACTAAGCACCTGTTATTGATCCACTCTGTGATGCTCATGGTGAATTTTTAAATGCCCGAAGGAGAAGATGATAGAGAAATCTAAATCTATGTTTAGAAACATCTCATAAAATACTGATTTCCCTCTTAAAGAACCACATTCTGAAAACAGTACACTTACACGAATATACTGTTATGCTAACCTGCCCAAGGCAGTGAGTGCCTCATTAAACATTTTACTGAATTTGGATAATTGCAATACAAATAATTTTGCCTTAATCACATAATGAGTGTGTAGAAAAATCTTTCACTGCAACAGTAAACCCATTTTACAGAATTTCCAATTTGGTGGGCTAACCTGTAAACACACTACATACAATACATGAGCTAGTGGAGAGCACACTTCATTTTCACAAAGGACATTTTCTTTTCACCAAGAGTAGGTGGTCATTTTTTTTGCAGTGTTTTTAACTCAAAATATCAAATTTTAGCTCTGCTAAATAAAATTTGAATTAAGCTCCTATGCTGGGGACCATGCTTAAATGCTTTCACGTTATCTTCTTTAATCTTCACAATTAGCCCTCTTTCACAGATGAAGTAGCCAATTAAGTTTTGGGGAGTTTAAGTTGCTTGTCCAAGGCCACACAAATCCCACAGCCAGGAGGCGAGCGCTTCCTAAGTCATGAATGCTCTCCTGAATGTTGAGCATGGGGCAAGAAAGGCCAGCTCACACACCAGAAAGATACTGAGCAATTTGAATCAGAATCAAATTCTTTTAAGTGGGTTTCACATATTGAACAGTATTTGGACATTAAGTTGGTAATGGGTCACTAAAAACAAGTCAACAGACAAATAAAACACCTGTACAGCTTATTTTCTGGAGCAAGATGCATATGATATTCAAAAGCTTGGGTGGTTGAAAGTGATGCTAGACGATGTCACCCACTGACCTATCTACTTTCTGCCTGGCCATCGTCCCTCATTCCTTACAGATGTCAGGTCTTGGTTCACTGTGGCCCTCTCTCCAACATTACCCCTGCCTAATTCTTGATGACTTACTCTCCACACAGATGATCATTCTGACACATTAAGGCAGATTAAGACTCAGGTAAAAGAAAAGAACTTTCTAGCATTAGGAGATATTCCACAGACACTAGTTCCTCTGGGAAGCGGTGAGCTCTCTGGTCCCGAAGAGTTTGAGCATAACTCAGAGTGGATCCCTACAATGGCTGGCAGCTTGAACTATATGACTTCTGAGACCCCTTCCAAGTTTCCACTGATTCTATGGTTGCAAACGTATAAGCTAACTGTCACAATGGTCTTTCTATCTCATTGTTGTTATAAAAAGAGACTAAAAAATTATGTGAATGTAGCTATTTATAGTTGAAGACACCTAGATTTCAAGATTTTCCAAAATATTGCTCCACCCTATCTATCTTACTTGTCTTTACTTATCTTACTGCCAGGGAAATTCCTAGCTTCCTTCTTTATTATTGAACATTTCCATATTCCCCCATGTCATGCATTCATATTCTCCTTCACATTAAATATAAATCTTTATCCCTACTTTCTACCAGGCTGACCCTACCCAAACCTCAAGCCCTCTTCCTCAAGGATGACCCATAGTTGGCCCTAATGTATAGTAATCTCTCCTTCTCTGAGCTATACTTGCTATAAATTTGTAATTCATTATACATTATGTGTAGCACTATGCAATATATATTTTGTGTGTGCATATAACAATTATTATTTGCTCATCTATTCATGTATGTATCTGGCTTATCTATCTATAGCATTCTCTGAAAGCTCACAGAATTAATGCCTCATGTATTATATCAATTTCGTACAGTGCTTGGCACAGTGCTAGTTTCAAATAGGCCCTTACCAATTGACTGACTAATCAATTAGCAAAATGGAAAATCCAGCCAGTATGCTCAAGCTTTGTCTATTGGAAATTACTTTCCTAAAAAGCATTTTTCCTTCCTTTACAGATCAATTGCAAAGTAAAAATTCAAACACTGCAAATTTCACAAACAGGAATAGCTGGTAAGTATTGGAAGCTTTACAAATAATAAATGTGCACATCAAAACCAAAGTTGCAGATGTTTGTAAAAGTATACACATGCAGCTCATGCAACTTATATGAGCAGAGATGGCTAAAAACGCTCACATGCCAGCCTAGGTAATGAGTATAAGCTGACCCTGAGAGAGTCCAAGCTGACCCTGATAAAATCCAGCATAGTTGCATGGTTTCCAAATCACTGGAATATTTCTAGAGTATAGCCTAGCTTTGCCAATTGCAAAGGAACTACATATTTATTTTGGCGAAGCTCTCTTGTTTGCTGAACCTTCAGTCTTTTACAGCATCTATAAATGAAGGCAACCAAGTCTGTTTCATTAGGAGATAAACCCGGACATTATACATCTCTATAGTTGATAGTGCATAAAGGAGTGGAAATAAAAGCAATCTTTCTACCTTACTTATTCTAATCCAGCTTTCTTTGCAGAAGACCAATACTGAAAATAAGTATGGCTTGTCTATGCTAATCAATTATATTTATAAGTCTCTTATAGGTTTGATTAGACCTCTTTAGAATTAAGGTCAAAAGGGTAAATGTTCAAATTGCATATAGCATAAGGCAGTAGACTGCAATTCTTTATATTATAAAATATATACCTGGCGCATAGCATTATTTTTCTAGAATAATTATGTTTACTCTAATTTGGGGCTTACTCTCTGACAGAAACTGTTCTAAGCACTTTAGATATACTTAGTTATTCAGTCTTCAGAAAGGTCCCATGTTGTAGGTAAAAATGGCATCACCATTCTATACATGGTAAACTGAGATACAGAGAGTTTAAGTAAGTTTGGCAAGTGGAGAGTTCAGAGGCATAAAGATCACTCTGCATTAGTTTCTGGAGCCAGAAGAAGCACATCTAGTATCTGAGCTGGAATAGTCTGGCTCCAGAATTGATGTTCTTAACCACTACACATACAACCTCTAAACAATTTGTAGGCTCTAATTGCGAGGTATGTGTAATGGTGAAAAGGACATATGTTTCACATTCACATATGCCTGGTTTAAATCTTCACTGCATTTTACTAGCTGTGTGGCCTTGGAAAAATTATTTAACATCTCTGAACATCATGTTTTCCAACTCCATTGTGAGGATTTTGTAAATCTGTTGTATCTGCAATGGTCTGTATAATCCCTGAGTATAGTATATTGCATGTGATAAGTAGTCAATCATTTACCAATATTATTATTCAAAAATAGCCTCAAATTGAATATCTTATAATATCTACATAATCCTCTATTAGTTCATGGTAAATTATTGAATGATTTTCACATGGAGGTACATTTGGCCATAGTTCTTTGGGAAAAGACAGCATTGTAACTATATGTACCCTAATGAATATCATTTCAACATTAACAGTACTCTTATCAGAATTATTACAAAATTCTGATACTTAACCTGTCAATCAAGGGTATTACATCCAAGAGCTAGCTTTACTCCATTTCATATTATTAATAAATTCATTTCATAACAGCTAAGTGAAAAAACAACCTAACTCTCTGACCTTCTATTTGTAGCATCAGTAAAATGCATGACCACGTTGAACAAATTTTATTGGCTTGAAAGTTATGCATGTTTTTTCAAAATCAGCAATAAATATTGATCTTACCCATTCCCTAAGTAAGTCAATAGCAATGTTTCAATTTCTTGTTAGTTTTTCCCTTTTGTAACAACATCGCATCTAATGAAGACCAATTTCCAAAGCTGAACCCCAGGGAGTGAATAATCTATCAAATACAACTACCTAAAAGAGAAACAGTTCTTTAAGTGGAAGTAATACCTGGCTTTATGTAGTAAGTATGACCAAGCTTGGCAGAAGAAAATATTCAGCATTGAGGAGTAAAGAATGTGATATCCCCTGGTCATTGCTTGCACATCTATAGCCCATCCCCAGGCTAAAATGATGTTTCCATAAAGAACCTCCCCCGTGACCCAAATCAGGATCCTTACTCTCTATATTTTAAAGCTTCTTTTATGCCACCGCATACCACAGCCAACGATCTTAGTTTCTCTAGCTTCTAGGAGCTCTTCCTCAAAGAGCACAGCCATACTCATGACTGTGCCAAAATAGGGCTCACAGGCTTATTCTGAGTCAATGGGGTAAGGACAATTCCTCAGTCATTTGGCACAACACAGGCAGAGATAGGGGTTTAAACCTTTGTTCTCTCTCCCCTTTCAGCAGCCATAGGACCGCTAGAAGCCTCTATGTCTTTCTCTTATTTAGAGGACCATGTGATTTTTCTATCTAAAACAACTACACAATATATAGTAGACAATGAACGGTATGTTTTAGCTTGGCTATTTTACAAGCATTGTTATGTGTTCGGATATTGTGATCTAGAGCTGTTTCAGTGTGCCCGTTGGTAAAGGGAACTAAATTAAGCAGAATTACTGCATCTCAGATTTTCAAGTAAGTACCAGGGAACTAAAACGGAACTTTTGATAGCCTCCCAGACAGTGGTGAAAGAGACTTGTTATGTATTGCTAGACACACAGGGGACATGACTGAGAGAAGGGCGGGAATCACGAAGGGTCTCAAACTTAAACTTTTGATTCTCTGTTCAAAAGAGATTATGTACAGTCTCAGAGATACACTGACAGGATTAAAAGAAAACACGTATCACAGGGTCTTAAATTTGTGTTGTGTTGCATGTGACTTACTTCCTAAAGTGCACTATGAATTGCTATTTTTCATAAATCCTCTAGTTAGCATGTGAACAGATCAATTACACCGCATTGTACTTTTGGCGTTAAAAGCATTATTTTAAAAAACGCAAACATTTATAATATAGGAGAATCTGACCATCCTGTTTCGCGTGTCTTCATCTGTTACTAGATTAGAATCCTGACATAACACAGTGGCTTAAACCCCTCTTTACTGGAAAAGGTTCTGCAGTGGAAAGAAATTCATTGATTATCGAGTGTGATGTAATGTATAGTTTTACTGTGATAGTAAATCCATATTTAATAGTAATGATGATAGAAATTCACCTTTATTGGTATTGTACTAAGTAAGCACTATATAAAGTACTTTTAAAAGCACTGCCTCATTGAATCCTTTCAACAGGCACATGAGATAGGTACTGTTGTTTCATTTCACACATGAGAAAACAGAAGATTAGAGAAGTTAAATCACTGCCCAAGTGGGTGGCACAGTTGGTTTGAATCTCACCCACTCCAAAGCCCAGGCTCCTCCCAGAGCACTCTAGCACATTATCTAGAATCACGCCTAGACTGCTTTCATTGGCTCTTTTGTTGTTATTTTTATTGTTTACTATTTCAAATTAACGTTATGCTTTAAATACAGGATTCTAAAACCAACTTTTTGTTCTATGAGGTTATTTTTTGAGTGTCATTAAAACTAACAAGCTCTTTACTTATTTTCAGGTATCTCTTTTCTTCTTATATCCTTGGCATTGCACAGCTCCTCAATTCTCTGTCCAGTTAACAGTGAATACAGCTTCCTCTTTACTTACTCTACTTTCCTCTCGCAAATTCTTTTCCAAGTGTCTTCCCAATCTGATTCCAGCTGCCTTGCCGGTACCTCTAGAAAGCCTCCCTCCACCCCCGCACTCCCCCTCACCCTCCATCCTGTACTTCTGGGTCTGGCTGTGCTGGGACCTACAGGCATCTGCATCCCCACTTATCCTGACTACTGTGGTTACAGGGGCCTCTTCTGAATGCAGACAGCCAGTCAGCCAAGTCGAAATTTATACCAGAAATCTATTACCTAATTTTTAAACAAAATGACATGAAATCAGACTTGAAGATATCAAAAACATGTCTAGTTTTTGATTTAAGCAAGAAAATCCACATTGTTACTGTTTCCACCACAGAATAATTTACTGCAACAGGAGTTCTGGATCTTATGCCAGAAATGAGGTCCTCTAACCAATGTCAAGGCCAATTATCTTGTGGTGGATCCCACAACAAAAGCAGACTATTGTGATTAGAGTCAGAAGCACCACCCAGAGAAGTTGGAAAGCTTCTGGGGATTTCTTACGTTCAGTTTTTATTTTCTCTCCCCATGTGTCTGCTCAGATACACTACCAGGAACTTTGTGTGTGGGCACCGAGCGTCTTATGTTAGCTGGGGAGACAATGACAGGGGCGATGGGTTGGGAGTGACCTGCCGCAGGTCTGGATGTGAGCAGGAGCCATGCTGAAGGCTGTGTGCCTGCGACACTATGAAGGTGACCACAGTCAAGCCCCTTCGATAGGTCCCAGCCTCCTCCCTCCCCTAACCTCCATCCCAAACAAGCTGCCGGGTAGCCATCCTGCGGTTTCTTGCTGGGAAGGGAAAGCCCAGGTGGCTATGTTCAGGAGCACTTACCCCACAGTAAAGAACTGCCTCATCTCCTGTCTCCGAGACCTCATCAGTTGCTTATACTCCCCGATCCGGAGCTTTTTGCCGTCAACAATGCAGGTGCGTTTCGGTCGAGGTTTGTATTTATAGTTCGGGTACTTCTCTAAGTGGATTTTGCTTAGCCGGGCCTGCTCTTCATAATAAGGTTGCTTCTCTTGGTTGGACATGGATTTCCAGCGAGACCCTGGACATAAAAATAACCTTAAGTGCCCAAATGATGAAGGTAACATATTCCTGGCAAATACAACTAGGCATACCTCCCATCTGTGCTCTGAGTGGCCCCTAGAACCACATACCTATGAGCCTCACGGCTAGCCTGCTAGACTATAGAGCAAAGAATAGTTTTATTTGATACATTATATTATTTCCCTCAATAACTTAAAGTAACTTAAAGATGGTGTTACAATAAGTGCATTGTTTTAAAACATGTCTTTGCTGCTGAAAGGTCATCTTCCACACCAAAGTCTTTCCCCCTCCCATCTGCCCCTCTCTCTCCAGAGGGTTAAACACCTAATCTTGCCTCCTGTCAGTGTGACAGGGCTCTCAGGAAAATCATTCTTGGGTCCAAAAACTCAAACCTCTCTCTCACTCCAAGCATCTCTAGCAAAGCGATCATTTGATAAATGATGTCGGCAGATAGGCTATCCCTCCATATACCATAACCTACTGTGCACACTGTCTCCCCTGGCCTAGGGTAATGAAAAAGCCTCAACTCTACTTAAGAAGTGATAGTTTTGCAGCCGGAAGGTACCATTGGGATTATATACACCATTTTCAAGTACTATAAACGTCCATTCAAAGCTGTCCCAATGAAAGTACAAAAATTTTTAATATGGTTTATACAGGAAGAAGCAAAAGTATTCACTCCTCTAATATTGTTTATAAAGAATTATCTAAACACTTGATGAAGAAGGGATGTGTTTTTTTACATGTATCAAATTGCATTTTTGTGTCTCGCTGGCAAATAAAGCGGTAACAGCTGTGCTGACTGGATGGGAGCTATTCTTCAGTGGAGATTTTTCATACATAAACAAATGGAAAAGTTGTACAAATATTCTCTGTAGCCAGCAATATCCTGGTCTGCTTTAATAGCCCATCCATCCCTGCTCCTTCCTGGCTGTTGTGAATGTTGGAAAGTCCGTGCAGGTAGCTCCTCGGTGTCCCCCTGACTTCTAGCAGCTTCGAACCCAGCTAACAGAGGATGCTTGGTGCTCTTGTGCTTAAAAGTTTACATTTTAATGAATACACTTACTATATTCTTAATAATTTTTTCAGAGAATGCACACCAATAATATAGATTCCCCACAGCTGCCAAAATGGAAACAGAGAAGTTCTGTGCCCATCTGGGAGCTTACTCATACGGCTGCTAAAATGGCCAAAAGAAAGAAAAAAATTTTCAAAGTTAAATATCAAACTTTAAGTACAGAGGAAACCTTGGTTTTCTTTAGAATGTCTATTAATTAGAACAAACTTAATGTAAGCATTGGGAGCATTCTGGTTTGAAAAGTATTTAAATTAGAAGGAATAATACCTCTATGCATATTTCTGAAACTCTAAAAATAAATTTAATTGTAACGACATTTACTATCCATTGTGAAATTCAGATGGAAAAATGGAAAAAAAGGGGGAAATTTGTATTTTAACATTTCACCACTATTTGATCTCATGTATGTTTTGAATTTTCTTAGAGGTCACTGCCTCAAAATGTCTCAGAATCAAGTTAAATTATTTATACAGTGACAAAACATGTGTATTTGTGTGTGTCCAGATCACTGATATTCACTCAGGTTAAATATTTATTGCTTTTGAACAAAACATTTAAAAAATGAAAACCACAGTTTAAGTCTCTAATGTTTTTCGGCTTCTTTGCCGGCTCCCTTTGAGATTTTGTCACATCCTGACAGCTTAAATAGAACAGTGCCTTCTGTGTTTTTTCTTTTTAAAGAGGAAACATGTTGACTGTAATGCTGTGTGTTGAATAAAATATGTTCAATATGTTGAGCACAATAATTCCAAACTGTATAATCCGCACGAGGCAAGCTTTACACTAATAGAGCAAGGCTTGAGTTTAATCCTGAGAAACGGGAGGATCACTCCGGCAATTCACCGCAAAATGGGCCTCTGCCCTGTGGTCTAATGTGTTCAGCTCGCTGCTATGAAATTTGAACTAGTCACATCGTATTAAAGTAAATGTAGTTTTATTTTACAGCTTCTGAAGTTATCATTAGAGGCACTGTTCTGCACTCCATGAGCTTCACACGATGTGGGGGCTCACCCCCACGTCTGGGATGAGTTCTTTCAGAGGGACATGTGAACAAGAATACAACCGCCTAAAACTGTAGGCTCTGAACGTGTTTCCAAGTTTCATAGCCACTTAGGAATTTAAGAAGACTGAGTAAGAAGAGGAGATAAAGCTTGTCTCCATGACTGCTGTGTAGCAGTGACCTCTCAGAGTTGCCAAATTCATAGTATTAACACATCCTAGAAACAGTTTTGTCTCTAAAAGACGTTTTTAGTCAGTCTTGCCCTGGCACCCTGTGGATGTCAGAACTCCCAAAGCTAAATGCCACTTTCTGGGGCAGGGGACACAGAGGTGGTGACAAAGTCTCCCATGGCAGCTTGCTGGGCTATATGTAACTTCTGCAAACCAGTCTCCCTTAGGTATCCAATGGTGCCCCTGCTTTCCATTCTTGGGACACCCATGGGGTAGAAGGTCAGCCTCGGCGGCTGCACTCACCTAAAATTTTGCTAATGTTGGAGTTATGCATGTCGGGGAAGGCCTGAAGAATTTTCCTCCTCTCATCCTTCGCCCAAACCATGAATGCATTCATTGGTCGCTTGATGTGTGGCTCGCTGCTGGCCCGGCCACGGGCATCCCTGTAGACTCGTGCTTCAGCCACAGTGGCACCTCCTGTTGGCCAACAATAATACTGCTGTAGTTTAGCTGCAGAGCCATTCATTGCTTTACTTCCTGTAATGTCAGGGCAGGAAGAACAAGACGGGTGCAAAGCATTATTATCTGGATCCTGTAACACAGCTTGCTGCCTGGTTCAGCTGCCTTCCCTAGGCCCTTCTCTTCCTTTTAAGGGACCTCTCGGAAGCAGAAGACAGTTTCAAATGACAATTCACAGGCCCTTATAACATAGGCCTCAGAGACACACTGGGCAGCATGAATGGTGCATGTTTTTATACGCCTAGTACATTTTTTAAAACAATCAGTTGCAAGTGATAATGAAGTAATGACAGGCATTATTTTATGCTAAACTTTCCTGATGGCATTCCTCTCTTTGAGAGCAGACCCTTACCTATCATTTTAGCCTCATTTGC